AGGAAAATGTGGTATATATATATACAATGGAATACTACTCAGCCATAAAAAAAGACAAAATCGTCCCATTTGCAACAACATGGATGGGCCTGGAGCGTATTATGTTAAGTGAAATAAGCCAGAAAGTGAAAGACAAACACTGTATGATCTCACTCATATGTGGAATAGAAACCAACACATGGACAGAGAAAACTGGACTGTGGTTACCAGGGGCAGTGGGGGTGGGGGGTGGGCACAAGGGGCGAAGGGAGTCATATATATGGTGATGGACAAACAAAAATGTACAACCCAAAAATTTCACAATGTTAGAAACCATTAAAACATCAATAAAAAAAATTTATCTTTATTTGAATTTTTTGAATATGTTTAAAATAAAAAGTATATCAAAAGGCATATAGTGACAAGTCCTCCTCCAATCCCTTTCCCCATCTACCTTCAATTTTTATATATCTTTCCAGAATTTGTTTATATATATATAGCAAATATGAATATATATTATTCTTTAATCTTATCAGATGTCTTAGAGTGCATGTTACTTGAGAGTTTATAAGAAATAAATTTATAGTAAGTAGATTTTAAAGAGAATTTTAAACTAATCAATATTTGATCAATTTGGGTATTCATCTTATTAGTATAGGTGAAGACTTCCCCCATAAGGGAGTTAGGAGAAAATTTTGTTCTGCTCATCAATAAAATTCCCTTATTCCATGACAAGGAGGCTATTTGAATCAAGGTTGAACACCCTCTGCATAACAGATCTAGCAAATACCCACATTATGGGGCCACTTGTCAGAACTTCTCTCTGCTTGTGAAAAAGTACATAAAGTACAGGTTTGTTCTTGACTGAATGGGCAGATGCTACATGGTTCTCTGAATCCCACACTGGATTCAGATTTAATGCAATCTATACATATGCCTCAATCTGAATTGTTGTTTTTTCCCTCTGTGCATATAAATTTTTCAATACAAATTAACTTATATCTCACTAGGAACCTAAAAAAAATGTATTAAATGTCAGGGTTTACTGAAGACAGAAATATTGGCAAGATATATAGCTTTTAAAACATTTTCATCATATATGCACATCACTTAATTTTCATTCCAACTCATATAATTGATTTACTTTTCTTTTCTAAGAAGCTATCTATTAAAGACATGGCTGACTTTCCTGTCCCTACCCAAGATGTGACTGGTGATGACAAACAAGGTATGATAAGAAAGAGTTTTCTTCCTTTAGGAACATTCTACCTATGTTTCTTTATCTGCTTCTCTTGCAATGGCTGGCTTCTAGAGCATATGAGGACAGTTCTCAGTATATGAAAACATTTGGATGAATTAAGTAGTTCAAATTGTTGTCACAAAAATATATGTCATAATGTGGTAACAAGAGCTTGAGTGTCCAAAGCCCCCCAACTCATTGGCCCCTTACTTACTGCTGACCCTCAGGCTACTCTGACACCTTACATTGGAATCTGGTCGTACTAACTAGGAGATGACTGGAAGCTGAAAGAATTGAGAGCTTAACATTTTGTGTTGGCAGATGTGATCCTAGAACATCAATATAAATGCACATGTGTACACGGGTCTAATACAGGAGGAAGTTATCTTCTGTGGAGAGTTTCTGTCCCTGGGCTTTATTCCCTGTGACTTTGTGGGTATGGGGCTGTGACCTGGAGCCCAGCAACAATTTGTGTATCTTAACTGGGTGGATGAGAAGCAGTGCAGCACAGTGTTCCATGTTATAGCTAACATCAAACACAGAGATGAGTTGGCCCGGGAGTATCTAGAAGAGCAGGAGGAACCCTCCCCTGCTCCATACTTCTCTATAATACTTTATAATCTACCAAGTTTTTCCTCATACACTGTCTTCTTCAGTCCTCACAAAACTGAATGGAGGCTGGTATGTTTTATCACCTAAAATTTAGAGGTGAGTAAACTGAAGTTCAGGCAGTATGAATCATTTGCTTAGTAAGAAAAAGAGTGGAGATAAGAATCAAGATTTTCTAAATCTCAAGCCAGTATTTCTTCTCTTATCTGATATTGATTCACTAACCATGAATGAGAGGCTTATCTGAAGGGACTAAAAATCAGTGAAGCTATTTCAGGCTTTATTGTTGAGACCTGCCATTGATGCAGCTTTGTATGGGAGTTAAACATGAAAAATAAGTTTTCCATTAGGAAACAGTAATTGCATGCTATTTAAATATTTGCTCCAGAGAGGCAGGCAGAACTGGACATTGTCTGCAGCAGTGTGTACTCGAATCACTCTCTTGACTAGTGGGTCTTAGCCTTGACTGCACATTGGAATAACTGGGTGAGCTCTAAAAATGCTGAAGCCTGGGTCTCACTCTCAGAGAGATTCTGATGTAGTTGGTCTGGATGTCAGGAATGGAAGGGGGAAATTCCTGATACTTCTTGGTAATTCTCCTCCTCGCCACTAGAAGCACTCTCTGGAAAGTTGAAAATAGTGCTTTGTTCTCTGTAGGAGGAGAACCTATTTCCGTGCTTTAGGAGGTCTTTATTGTTTTAGTAAGTGCTATAGCAACTTAAAGAGGTTTATAACACTAGTTTCATAGGTGATGACTAGGGATTCTTTGTTTTAATGTAATGTGCTTCAGAAATAAAATTTTACAGTTTTTCTTTTCTTTTCTCCTCTCTTTCTTGTTCTTTAAAAATGAAACCAAACACTGCCAGCTTTGAAAAGTACTGTGGATGAAGCCTTACCAAAGGACATGTCTGAGGATCCAGGTAGGAGAAAACCATTTTAATATATTTTTTATGTAATTATTTCTAATTAAAAAAATAATTTCAATCAGTAGAAGATTGGTACACCTGTGTTAGTGTGTATGTTTCTCTCTAAATATTTGTCTTGTGTCTTATTACAAAGAAACCTTTTGGCTTTTTTTACCCTTTCCCTCTTTTCAGTTATGAGAAGAGGGTGATTTCTTTTTAAATTCCAAATTTAGGTTTCACTGAAAAGGCCACTCAGTTTGAATTTAGAGTCTCATTGTTACTAAGTGTAAAATTGGGGAGGCTTGGAGTTGAGAAGATTTCAGCGAGCCATTGTGGTTTCTGTGAAGTGTAAGGAGCTGATGAGGTAGACCAACTGGAGGCCCACAGTTGAAATTTCCCATTTCCAAAGCAAAAATCTCAAATATTTTCATTATACTTCACCACCAGGAAGGTAAGTAAATGTGCTTATACATGAAGTGGATTCCGAGGAGAAAAATAAAAGATGTGTTTGCCCAGGTTCTGGGAGAGTCGGAACTGTATCTGTGAATGGTAGAGATGGCCAGGCCTGTGTCCTCAGCTCTCGATGGAGCCATCATTGAATCCAGATGAACCTAGTTACAAACAGACTGGCTAGGGAAGGGGTTACTATTTGGAGCTCTGGTTATGAGGAAATGAAAGACGTTGCTGCTTTCTCTTTTATTGTTATCTCTCTTAATATTTAATAAGTAAATCATGTTTGTTTTTGTTAGCTAGCTATCATCCCAGGCTTATTTCTTTAAAGTTAGAACAAAGGAATCCATATAACATTGAGGCTTTTACTATAGTACAATATTTCCCAAACACCAAGTTCATTCAAAGTTTAAAAGAGAGAGGGGTAGAGAGAGAGGAAGGAGTGAGGGGAGAGAGAGAGAATAAATATGAATGAGAATATATGATTGATTTCAGTGATGAGGCCTAAGAATCTGTATTTTTAGGCAGCCCCTCAGGTGACTCTGATGCACAGCCTATTTTGGGAACCGCTACCTCTAGAAGGTGATGTTAAGAAATAGAAAATTAAGATAGTAGATCAATCATGACTCCAAAAGTGGTAGGAATTCTCAAGCCTAGTTTTGGCTTTGAAACTAATTCGGGTTTCTTCATTGTAGGGGGGAAATGCTCTATTTGTGTAGGACAAACATCTGAGGTAGGTTCTTTCCAACTCTAATTTCTGGAGCTAAAGTAGGTGCATCCCAGTTTTTGTAAACTTCATTTCATGGTATTAGTAAAAGCTATTTAAATGTGGAGAGTTAAATTGGTGCTTCTTCAGCAGCCTTTGAGGCTAATGACTCTTCCTGTTTTTTCCACGAGCATCATGTTTTCTTTGGGGCATGAGCTGTAGATGTCATTTTTACCATTCCTTCGTTGAATAGGGCATGGCATCACCAGACAGAACCTCTCAGGGTCTGCCACACTGTGTGAAGTAAATCTGAATTTGTTTCACATTCTGCCTTGGGGCATGCTATGTGGTTTCTTATTTGTTCTTCCCACTGCTGCCCCTTTTTGGAGTGGGTATGAGGAAATCCCTCGTCTGAAAATATATTTAATACTCCCTTTCCTCGGGGGATGTTTGAATTTCCAGCCAGAGACACTAGAGTTTCAAGATGGTAGTTTCTAATTCTGGATGGCTGTCTATGCCACGTGGGCAGTTCACCTCAGTTGAGTTGCTGCCTTTCGGAGAATTAAACTTTATGCTTGCCCTCTTATCCTGTTTCTTTTTCCTGGAAAGATGACATGCCTGGAGTGTTCTAGGAAGTTGTCATTTTTCTTCCCTTCTCCTAGCTAAATGAGAAGCTATGATCCTCTTGTTGGCTTCTGCCTGGATTCCAACACAACATGCCCTTGCCATTTTTTCAGATATTCACATGCCTCAAATGCTGAGTCTGACTTTTCAGGGGCTTGGAGGTTGATGGAAGACTTAACTAGAATAGTGTTCTCCAGCTTTTTCTGATCTGAAACCTGTGGAGACTTACCAAGACCTCCTTGGGATACATTTTTGCAGGTGGAAGAAGAAGCATCTCCTTGCTCTGCTCTTCCGCAGTAGGTGGCAATAGTGATGATAATGGTAATGGTGATGAAGATGATGATGTGGTGGGTTACAGATAGGGTGGGACAGTGTTATGAGGGAATGGGGGTATTCCTTGTTAAATATTTCTTCATATGCCCTTACCCTTTCAATTGCTGAAGGTGTATATATTAATGGAGTCTAATAGATTTCTTAGCTAACATCACATTCCAGCCTAATTCAACAGAGCACACTGCACAATTGCGATCTTTGTCTTGATGTCTCTAGGTCATGCTGAGGGTATTAGGCCTGTTCGCCCTTACCCTGTAGTCTTCAGACTGCCGTTGGTGATTCTGGCAGCTGCCCCGTGGCCTGCTGTCACTCCGTGGTCTTATGGGGTAGAGCAGTTCTCTCCTTTCATTACCTGCTCCCACCAGCACCTCCTTTGCTGTCCTAGAAGGAACTAAATTTGGAAACCAGATTTCTAAGCTTGAAAAATTAGGAGCACTGTACAGCAGTAATACTTTGTAGTTCTAAAATACATTTAGTTTTCAAAGTACCTTCACCTTCTTATCTCTCCCTTTGAGAAAGGGGCCATATTTTTATTATCTTCATTCTGTAGGTGAGGAAACTGAGGTTCAGAGAGGTAATGTGGCCAGACAGAGCACCTAGGCCTCAGTACTCCTGGCCTGATCTCTTCTGCTCACCCATAACCCTCACCCCATCTGTCTGTATCTCTCACCAGCAGGGCTCACCCCTCCTTCCACACCCATTCCTACCCCAGCAAAAAGACAAAGATAATGACAAGTGACAAAGAAATTAACGGTTACCACGGTCTGGTTTGGGGAATGGTATTTTAACACGGCCGAGACTTCTCCTACCCACGTATTTCTGGAAAGCTGTGGGGCCTGGGGGAGAAGAGGGGCACGGAGCCAGCTGTGGGCAGCCTGCTCAGAGGGCAGCCCCCAGGTCTGTGGTGAGTCTGGTCACACTGTCCACGCAGCCCCAAGGCAGCCTGTTTGGCTGGAGGAGAGGCTCCCCATAGGCTGCTTTCCTTTGCTGCCTGGGGTTTGTAGAAGGGGGAGTAGTTTTCCATCTACATGCAGGTGCGAGTGCACTGTCACGGGCAAGACAGGGCTCAAGCTGCTCGGGCTCCCCGTGCTTTTCAGGGCTCTGGCAGCGTTTCAGTGGTTTGAAGTTGAAAGATGCCTGTGTTCTCACTACAAAAGCCAAAATGCTTAGGTTGGGAGAAACGCATCTCTCCTGCAGCTGACCATATGTAAGGGAATATGTATTGCCTGTTTGCTTTGTGCCTTATAAGCATTTCAGCTCCCCTTTCTGCCCTGCTTTTCTAACCCAAGAATTTTAATGATCATCATAAATTCAGGTTGCTTCGTACCAAGGAGGGTTTTTATCTTTGGAGCAATGTAAAAGAGGATGGGATAACGCAATGAGACATTTTCTTTCTGGAAGAATTTGTGCAAACAATGTACAAACTATATTCTCCTTGTTCCTAGTTAGTAGCACTTTTTCTATGAATTTTTATGACATTTTATGATGAAAAATTTGCAATATTTGTACAACCTTACTGTAGCTAGTGGTTTCTAAAGGTGTCTTCCATAGAGGATTGAAAACATAAAAAGAGGATTAATGTTTTTGTAAATGTTTCTAATTACTCCCAACAGCTAGAGATGGGAAAGTAGGTTCTGTGGGTGTTGGTAGTGAGCAAGTTAGTTTATGATTTAAATTTGATAAGGAAAAGTTGTGTGGTTGACAAAATATTTTAATGATTTCATTCAATAATATTCTCTGTATGATTTGGTCACAGACACGTGGGACACAAGAATATTCTCTTACAGGAAAAGCTGCATAGCTCATTTCAACTTACTTGGGGGAGCTTTGATTTCTTGTGGTCATGCTGCTTTGGTAGTGTATTTTAAGAAAATCTAAAAATGTGTATCCCGATAGATTTCTTCCTAGCCTTCAGGGGAGACTGGTTCAAAATCTCTTACTAAGCTATCACGATAGACCAAGAAACTGTCAAATCTGAACCAATCATTGTGTAAATAGAAAACCTCTTGAGAGAATTGTCTTTTTAGACTGCAATTTCTTCATTAATCAACTTAGATTTGAGAATGGCTTCTCAGATAGTGCTCTGACAAAAGGAAAAATATGTTGGTTTTTCTTTCCTTTTAATTGTGCCTCTAGCTTTAGAAATAAAATTATGCAATCATGAAAATGTGGAAGCGGTCAGGTTCTCCACATGGACACCTGTACCTCTTGTTTACCTGTTGATGTGTTCTGTACTAGCCCAGGTGCTGCATATAAATCTGTTTAACTGCAGAAATGAAACCCAAGCAAACAACAACTAATCTTTGTTTCAGCCACTCCTAAGGATTCCAACAATCTCAAAGCAAGACCAAGATCCAGGTAGTGTTACTTTAATTTCTGCTTTAATGCCCTTTGTGCCCTGTCCTTGACTAGGGAAAAAACCTCCCAACCCAAAGCCCAACCCCCAATCTCCTTTTCCTTGAGATTTGAAGCTTAGAATATGGGTGAGTTCACTCATCATGAGGGGCCTGACTGGAGCATGCAGTGCTGCTGGGGAGACTCTTAGTTTCTCTGTTTATTAGTGCTGGAAGATGGCAGCTGCTGCTTTCTGGTCACCTGACGTGTAGAAGTGGCTTGTGTGATATGTCCCAGTTGTTGCAGGATAATAACAAATAGGGGGAAGTAGCTTCAGAAAGAAGGAAATATGGTTAAAAGGTAACTGACACTGAAATTTACTATCACGACAAGGTGAACACCAGAAAGTAAGAAGTCTGGGGGATAAAATCTAGAGTAGGGAACGAAAATGCTCATGGTGATTTCAGTGAGGCTTGAAGCTTCAGGTAAGCAGTGCTTAGGGTCCATTTCATCCTATCTTAGAGCATCTTCTCATCTTCACAGTTTTTAAATGGATAGAGGCTAGTAGAAGAGGGCGAGCCAGTAAGGCAGAGCTGTGGTTGACATCAGACACCAGGAGGGGGGAGCGAGGAGAAATACTGAAACACTAATAGAACATCAAAGAGGGGAAATGGTGTTGGGACCACTCTTCATCAGCAGACTGCACTGTAAGATAGGACACTATATGTGTGTGTTTCACGTCTTGCTTTGGCTCTTAGTGACTTTTTTCCTCCTTTGGCTGCTAGACACATTCCTGAAAAAGTGAATTTAAATCTGATCATATTTTATATGATTGAAATACTGACATTTAAGGAAATCTTGTCTCCATGTAAATCAGAATTATTCCTTAGTTTATCTTTTATATCTGGATTTTCCAAATTGGGGTTTTGTTTCCTTGTTTATAGAAGGTACAGATATTTATATTCATATTTTTTTAAACAATAGATCTAGTAATTCATTTTGGGAGGATAAAAAGTATAGTCACTATTTCTCTCTATGGTTACTACATTTACTCATCCTTTTTTTTTTTAAGGATGAGTGGATCTTTTATAAATTAGTCTGTGCTGGCTTTAGGATGTAGGAATAGTAGCATTTATCTGTCGTCTTGGTAGGAAAAGCCTTCTTTGAATTGCAGAAATCTGCTAACGTGTATTATGTTAACCGTAAATTGAACCTCACAGTTTTCACTTCTGCTGACTTCCTCTCTCTCCCAAAGTGAATGAAATTATAAAATCTCATAGTCACATATTCTGTTATTAATATCTGGCTAAATTTTATATATCCTTTTAGGGATTGGTCTCCTAGTCTAATTTGGATGTTTTTATTTTCACTGCTCTCAAATGGGTCTTTACTGAGACCAAGGGAATCAAATTATTTTTATCCTCGTTTTTAGAATAGTAAAGCTTTATAGAAATAGAAATAGGGGAAGATCACTATTCTAACACTACTGCATTCATCATTTTGTTGATTCCCTGGACATTTATATTTTAATTGGTTGCAGTCTTAGTTTTACAGTATCACTTATTTGATATTCAGTTAAATTTTCATGTGAAAATATAAATACACAGATTATATATGGAAATAACATGGAATGAGATATGTGGTATGGGATAGTGTGCTTAACTATATGTGTGTGTATAAATATATACACACACATTATTCATACACACATTATTGTTTCTTGAGTGAAAAATGTCACTAAAACTATATCTGGCATAGAAAGTTCTTTTAATTTCTAGCAAGGGTCTCTAATTTCCTTTTTTAATCAAGAGTTCCCATTTGACAACTTTGTTGTCCTTTCATATCAGTTTCCTTTACTCTGGTTGAAAGTATTAGAGCATTCTTCCTGCTAGTTCCTACATGCCTTTGCTTTGCCTGTCTTGCCAGTTATATTACAGGGGCCACCCCAGAGCATGTCACATGCCATTATGGTAGCTTTATTAAAGATTGCAGCCTTGCATGACAAACAAAACTCTTGACTACCACAAAGAAACCTTGAGGAACTTATTTGGGAAATAAAAACTCACTATGTCGAAACCAGCTTTACCAAGAACTGAAGTTGCTTAATAGTAATTGATAGATTCTAATTTCATAAGTGCCGCTATAGTACCTAAATGCTAAGAACAGTTTTCTGAGGTTAATTTGTCTCTAGGACACATCTCTGACTCAAAGGTCATTTTCTTCTTTGACGTGAAGTTAGCCGAGAAGCTGAATAAAACAGATGTACACATCCACTTCTTAGAAAATCATATTGGAACTCGTCCACAAACCTATTCCTAAGCAATAGACTATTGTACTGAGTTGAATTAATTTATAAAATAAGTAGGTCTTTAATAAATAGTCTAGCCGCTACTGCCAGAAGATTTCTTCCCTGGCTCATAGGCAGTATCAGAACATTTTAAAAATGGAATTTAGAAAGAGAGAGAGACAGGAGTTTGAATCAAAGCTATGTAACTTTCTACCCATGTGACCTTTGGCAAGTTATTTAGTTCCTTTTTCTTTAAAAGTCATTATTGGAGTTACAGTCTCAGAAGTTACCTAGTTAGCTACTGCCTTATTAGAGATTGAGGGAGAAGGTTAAGAAGAGGCTTTTGCTTTGAAAATTTCCAAAAACCCATATTTCTCATGGTAAGACAACCTAGACCCCTCAATCTGACTGATGTGTGTTTTCCTTTCCTGAATTTCGTTTGTGGCATATTCCCTTGAACATTTGATTCTTACTCTCAGTTTATCTGTCCCAATTCCATATGTGCCTGTCATCGCATTTGCATGTAAACAGGAGAAAAGTTCTGCAATCAGTTAATACCATGAAGCCCTTCTATTAAAAAATATGAAAGTACCTTAAGTGGAAGGGTTTACATGTTATTAACGATTCCAATAGAAACTGATTTGAATTTACAGAAAGCTTTTCCTTTTGCGTAAATTTAGGTCTAAGGTATAATAAGAGCAAAGAGGTTGAAAAAGATTCTGATTCACGGTTGGGGTTTAGGCAATTATTGCAGATAGTGGCATCCAAGGGACAGTAGAATTTGTGGTTATTTTGGGAGCTCATCAGTCCTTTGCGGTCACTTTGACATTTGGGGGTATTTTCCATTTCAGCCCAACTTCCGAGAGTAAAGCTTTGCTGTCTCCCTTCTGACCTTCCCTTATTTTGCTGCAGATCTTACTCTAGCACCTCCATAGAAGAGGCCATGAAAAGGGGCGAGGACCCTCCCACCCCGCCACCGCGGCCACAGAAAACCCATTCCAGAGCCTCCTCCTTGGATCTGAATAAAGTCTTCCAGCCCAGTGTGCCAGGTGAAGTGCCCCTATGAACCCCAGCCGTTCCCTTTCCTGTTGGAGTCAGTGGATGGGTGTCTGCCACAAAGGCCTTTGTGTGTCCAGATAATGGGCGGACCTGGCCCTTTCCCATCCCTGGACGGTCTTCACGTTGCTATGATATTCTTGGGAGGGAAAGTGGTTCAAGGCAGATAGATATCACATGTGTCTGGAGCCTTGCCCACACTTGCTATGGGTCAAGAATTATGAAATTCTGTACCAAGAGGATAAAAATGGTTCAACCCCAGACAGCCACTGAGTGCGTGGCTGGGGTCTTGTTCCTGCATTGTGGTAATTTGTATACAAGATTGCTGTCTGTCATTTCCTCAGACACTTAACGCGGTTCTTCTGCGAAAGATCTTGGTGATCAGTGCCTGGCCGGAATCTTCTGCATTTTATCCTTGTGGCGAAGATCCTGTGTCCTGTAGGGTTTAATGTTTCCTAAAGCTGACTGATGGTTAGGGGGTTGGTGGAGGGGTCTAGGGCAGGGACTCTTTCAGGTGGGCTCCTCTGGGTCTTCTGGGGCTAGGACTTTATTGAGCCAGCTGCTGTACAGCTGGGCTGGAAGCGAGGGAGATCAGAGGGGCCTGTCTGCTCCCCTGGCTGCCTGTGAAGTGGGAGACATCCTCCTAGGGAACCTGCAGAACAGCAGATGAGAGCCATGCCTTTTCTTTAGTGAAGGTGCTAGGATACAGCGCCGTCCCAAGTGTTATTTTGGGAGCGACGAGGGCCTTTCCACTGACTAATGCAGGCAAGCTATAAATACAGTGATTTCCTGGAACTTTTTCTATATCTATGTGCATTTTAAATCAAGCCAGCCTCAGATGCTAGTGATTTGCAGATTATTATCTTTTATACTAAAGCAAGAAAGGACTCTCCTTGGCTCACACATTAGCATGACCTCTGTGTCCCGGCAGAGCTCAGCATGTTTTATTTGTTCTAATAAAGTACTCTCCTCACAGTAAAGTTATAGATTGTTTTTTAATATACTAGAATCTGGAACTCTCTGTGAAATTTGATTCTCTGCCATGAGTTCATCAGATAAAAATTTGCCTTGAACTTTCTCCTATACTTTGATCCAAATTCTGGCATAATTTCATAGTAACTGGTATTTGGGGTGGGAGTAGCCATGGATGATGATGCTATAAAAATTTCACATGGCTGGCATATTATGACCTAGAAGATTTTTCTATGGATACAAGAAGATTAAAACAATCTGGGAAGCTATCTCAGTATGTTTTCCTTGCAAGGAGAGATGGTGGAAACGTCCATGCATCTCTCAGGCTGTGTAACCCCAAAAGGTGTGCCAGCTGTGTTGGAGAATGGGTGTGCTGTGGCTTTGAAACATTGCATCATATAGTGGAAGAGACATGACTGGATTTAGAGTCCAGCTCAGCTGCTTATTAACTGTTTGATTTTCAGCAAGTGGCTTAATCTTTCTGTATCTCAGATTCCTAATCTGTAAAATAGGGCCAATACTTCATGGAATTGTAGGGTTTTGCAGAGATAATAAACATAATCCAAATAGCACCATGTTTGGCCCATAGGCACTCATTCCCACAGAAGACCACTGAGGAAAGGGACTCGGAGGATAAAGCCCCCTGACTCCTTGACCCCCAGTGGCAGTTCTGTGATTCATTCCCCACAGTTCCTTGGAGGACTCACAGAGGACTGAGCCGCAGGTGCCTGCTGTATACCGCATTCATTAACACACCTTTTCTTGGCTTTCTTCCCTCCTGCCGTGTCTCTTTCCCCACACCCAAATAAAATACCTGTTCCCAAGTCCACGTCTTAGAGGCTACTTTCAGGAGAACCTGAATTGACAGCTTCTTTTTACATTTCCAGTATTGATATGACTTCAAGAGGAAAAGTATTTTGGTTTGATAAATGCCAAAGAATAGCTGGGCAGGTGACATCTGTATTCATAGCCTAATCCCATTGTCTTTTCAGTGCAGGTTTACACAAATGAAATTTTAATGAGCAGTTTAAATTGATCACATGAATAACAGAGCATTTCTGCAGTATAAAAAGCAGGTAGTACCATTGTGTCTGCTTAATTTATTTCCATGTTGGTTAATTCTCACTGGAAAGTTTAAGAGTCTGTCTATATCACGTAGAATTTTAGTGTATTGCATATTGCTATAAATGACTTGTTAAAATTCTGACTAGCTAGGAAAGCATGAAGTGGAGTATAAACCTATGGAATAGTGCACTCAGTGAGAACCGTGGTGCCCATGTAGTAACCCCTCTGCTACATTTGTCTTTACATGTCACTTTAGATAAACTGGGTCACACTATGCTTGCTGTCCTGTATCCTGAGCTTCCCAACTACCCATCTTTCTAGTTCATAATACAGAGCTGCATCATTTCTTTTTAATGCCTGTGTGATACAGACGTACCATAATTGATTGTGCATTGATGGAGATCCTTCTCTCGCCCTATTTCCCTCTCCTTCTTCTTGTCTCTTCCCCTCACTTCCTTCTCATGCTCATACACTACTCCCCTCATATGTGCTCTCCTTGCTCCTTTCTCACGGGTGCCCCTTGTAACCTTTTTCTTTCCCCCTTGTGTCCTCCTTGCATACCTCTGTGCTCCTTCCTGCTCCCCGTCTTTTCTCCCCCTCTCCTTTTCCTCCCCTTCCCTCTCTGCTTCTCTCTTCTCTCCCTCCTTTCCTCCTTTACAGGCGTGAGCCTCCCTTTCCCAGGCTTCCCGATCAACCTCACCTTGCCCTCATGTCATAAACAAGGTTATTAATAAACAGAGGTTATTAATGACTTCATATCCATATCTTTGTTTCCTCGTCTACTTATTTTCTTGTGTGGAATTCTACAAGTTGGAGTTGCTGAGTCAAAGGCCATAGACCTTTGAAGTATAGATGTATTTTGCTAAACTGTGCTGTAGAAAACATAGCTATCAACTTACCACACCGCTAACGTTGTCTGAGAGTGTTTCCTCTCATCCTCGCCAACACTGGTTAATGTTCATCTTTTTTTTTAATGAGGTCACATTGGTTTATAACATTATATAAATTTCAGGTGTACATCATTATATTTCAACTTCTGTATAGACTGCATCGTGTTCACCACCAAAAGTCTCGTTTCCATCGTCACCCTACACATGTCCCTCTTTACCCCTTTCGCCCTCCCCCCACCCTCCTCCCCTCTGGTAACCACCAATCTGTTCTCTGTATCTATGTGTTTGTTTGTTTATCTTCCACATATGAGTGAAATCATACTGTATTTGTCTTTCTCTGTTTGACTTATTTCGCTTAGCATAATATCCTCAAGGTCCATCCGTGTTGTTGCAAATAGCAAGATTTCATCTTTTTTATGGCTGAGTAGTATTCCATCACATATATATGCCACATCTTCTTTATCCATTCATCCATTGATGGGCATTGAGGTTGTTTCCAAGTCTTGGCTATCGTGAATAATGCTGCAATGAATATTCATCTTTTTAATTGTTACCAATTGCATTTCCTTGATTGCCAGTGAGACTAAACATCTTTTCTTACCATTATTGGCCATTAATACTTCTTTTATGAATTGTCTACTAGAAGGCCCACTCAGCTTCTGTTGCTACATCTCTTTGCCTAACCACAGAGGCTGTTTGTCTCTTCTTCACTTTTCCTACGAGGTTCTGGACCTATCTTATTTTAAGCACTTGGGAATGTGAGGGTGGCTGTGGGAAAGAAAGCTAACCTAACTTGCTGCTTCACTGGGTTCATGCCCTTCCAGTCCCCAGTACCATATCTTTCTGCCAACCTTATCACTTAAGACAAACTCTACCTGGGCCACCCTGTTTATAACAATAGAAGAATAAGGAAAACTAAAGAAAAGAGGGGAAGATAATGTGCGATGAAACAAGGTGTAGACTAGAGTTGAAAGGGAAAGATAAAATGAAGCCAATGCTTTAAAAAATGAGAATCACGGGATTGTGAAAAACAGAGTGAATGAGGCTAAGTTGCTGAGTCAGAGTGGCCTAAAGTGGAGTGATAGTGTGGAGAAGAAATAGGATGGAGAGAAGATGCAAAGAAGCAAGAATGAAAGAGGGAAATGAAGAAAAAGATGAGATGGTCATTACATAGGAGTGACCATGTTTATACAAAGGGAGAAGCAGCATATAGGATAAGAGACTGTAGAGACCAAGGGGAGGAGAGCCCACAGACTGGGTGTAGGATTTGGACAGGATTTAAGGGAATAGCTTAGAAGTGGGTGGCATGAATGCCTTCAAATTTATGAAGATAGGTAACGTGATACAGGGAACAATTACAAAGGGCTGATTTAGAATATAAATCTAGAAAAATGAGCAAGGCCAACTTTGGCAGTGTGGGACAATTGGCTTTAACTTTGATATCTGTAAAGAGAGTGTGAACATGTGATTTACAGGAACCTAGACTATCCCAGGGCTCCAGATAGGTGGGTGCTGGTATTACACCTAAAGCATGTGTTTTCATAGTGAGAAACTGATATAAAATAATCGCTGTGTATAAGAGGGAGATCACCTTTGTAATAGCTGATCCAGGTTATGGAGCCCTCCTCTCATAGTCCTGCACAGCTGCCACGTTTGAGAGAAAACAATGTGCAAGGAATTCAAAGTCAGTGATAATGCAAGCGTCCAAATCTAGAGACAGTCAAACCCAGACTTGCTCAGTGATGTTTTGATTTTAGAACTCTACACTTACAGCTGCGAAACATATTTTATTACTGAGATTCCTGTAAGAAAAAAAAATCATACTGTGAAGGCAATACTTTTTAGACCCTAACCTCCTTTTTCTCATTGAAACAGTTGTTTTCATAAGGTAATTTTTTTTTTCATGAAAGGGGTTTCTTCTGTTCCACTGTATGGGGTGGGAACTACCCTCCTTCCACTCTTGACACTGAGCCACCCCTTCCAAAGCCATGCCTGAGGTTTGCAGCCTGAAGTTTCCATGGTGACCATCACCTGCCTCAGTGCCGCCTCTGCTACAACAGCCCTGT